TATATTGGGTAATAATGATAATATTACCTAATTTCCATAATTCAAGTTGACTTGGACTTTTTAAAGAGGCGGCAACATTTAGTTTGGAAATGAAGCCTTTGGCTCATTCCACGGTGACGGGTGAGAGATTTCAACTAACATTTTAAGGCTTAATTCCTAAACCATAATATAAAATTCTTAAAAATTAGTATTTTCTAAACAATTTAATCCAAACTAGTTATATGAGTTTTAGTCACTGTGACGGGTGTGGCGAGTACGCAAGCCAAATTAGCTACTACTTACTTGTATCAAAGTTTTTCTGCTAATTATGTCTTCTCCTTACGGTTTAAAATAGTTCGTTGTATAGTTAAATAAACATTTTCAACATTTACGCCAAAAATGCTTACCTCTATTGGAAATTATAGATTGTAGTTGCGTTCCCCAACTTTTCTGGTTAAACCTGTAAAACTGTAAAAACGCAAAAGAAGCCAGAGAATCGAGTACGGGAACGCTTTCTGGTAAATTTCTATAAATTCTTGCAAACTCTTGCGAGTTAGGGAACGCAACTTATATGTTCCAAATTCAACTGTGACGGGTATGACTTGACTTTGTGATGGGTGTGACAAGTTGTGCATGAATACACACATACACATTATTAGACAACTAAACTAACTTTATTTCTCAAAAAATAGATTTTACGAACTCATAAAAGATTCTGCCACCAAAAGACGGAACAATCCTTGATCGTACTCTTCATATCCTCTGTCTGTCTGAGTCATTGCAAAGTTACTTTACTTTTTAAATAGTACGACACTTTTAATGAGGCTGTTACCTGTCAAACGGTATGAGATACTGTTTTTGCCCTTACAAGTGAAGTGACGGTTTCCTTTTATCCGTGACAGCATAGCTTAAGTTTTCCCGTCGCTGGAGTAACATATCTTTATGATTAGCTTTATCATCGGTGATCACAAAAAGATATATGATACATTTCAGATTAGCAGATAAGTATCTGTAGCTATCCCTACTAGGTGAATTCATATAAGGTGGTACCGGTAGTACAAGAACAAAAACTAACATGTATTTTGTTTTCGCTTTCGGTACACAAATGTCAAATTTCAGCTATTCTTCGCTCAAGGAGAAGACGGAAAGAGAATTCCAACACTCTTACTTTCGCATTCACTCATAAGGAGTTTTGACATAAGTGCACCGAGGCGAATTAAAGCAGCTGTTCTAGAAACACCACCTTCGCCTTGAGTCCCTAGCCGAGTTTATTAAAACTTGTCAAACTTTAAATTGTGACGGGTGTGACATGTGACGGGCGTGACCAACATAATTGTTTTTTTTTTCGAAAATAAAAGCATATAAATACTTAAAAGCAATTCGCACATATTCGCCTGTGTCATAGCGCTACTTTCGTAAGCTTTTTACACTGTCCAAGATGTGTTTTCCTTCAAAAAATAACTATTTCGTGTATTTTATGACGGTCGTTACATTAAAATATGCTTTGTTTCAATATATAATAAAATATTTAGTAGTATGCTCGAAAAGCTGGGAAACTACACTGTTACAAAGCTGACGAATTGTTCTCTCCATTGGCCGTTTAAACAATGAAAAAAGAGACAATACTAGAGTTCACTCTTTGATGTGAAACTGTGTGCGTTTGAGCGAAAGTGCGAATATCGGCAGTTTTTTACAACAAACATATAACACTGCTATGGCGTCGTTTCGCACAAACGCACAGCAAAGCAACAAAAAAAACGCTAATTTTTGCCTTTCGCATTTTCGCATCAAAGAGTG